CCTAGAGGGAGCTTGTGAAACTGTTATTAAATTTGAACTGGGGAGCTTCGCAGCTGCAAACAGATTAAGATCGTGGGAACAGACTCTGACCTTGTATAACAATGTACTCAGAGGCTCTGGTGCGTCCTTTTTGCAAGACAAGTGCTTTATTGGAACAGTTACATGAGAAGACGGATTTGATGACTGTTGCGATTGGAAATTTTGGACAGGTAGTGGGTATCTATATAGAACCCACCCAGGAATCAACTCAGGAGTGTGCTCTGATAGATCAGATGAGGGAGGAGGTTGTTGCTGGACCTCAGGTGGCAGAGATGGAGGGAGCTGTGACCCAGCAGGAACATGAGCTGTTGGATCTGCCAAATGAACTTGGAAAAAGCCAGATTTGGAGAGATAGAGTTTTGTTTGGCTTGGAGATGGGGGGCTGGATAGACCCCCCTATGCAGGGATGTTTTGACTTTTCAAATCTGGCAATGGACCGTGAGGAGTTTGGGGCTGTGGGGGTCCTCAACTCTGGAGGGACTTTGAAACATGCTTTTAAATACCACAAGGAGTTCAGTGTGGACTATGGAAAAGGGGCTGATCTGTCGAGAAGGGACAAAATACTGTCAAGTGGGAGTTTCCACGAGTGAAAGGACCAGGAGACAAAGTAAAGTACAGGTATAAATATGAAGAAGATCTGCGGAAGGGACATGGAAGAGACTTAAGGGCCTCGGACATAAGGTTACCAGGTTAATGAACTAGATGGATGGGATGGAAAGGACTGACAAAACCCGGGACCAGGAGGAAGAGACGTTGGATGAAGATTGGAAGAAAGTTTTTTAAATTTTTTTTTATTTAGGATTGTTTTGTAAAATTAATGAGTATTAGAAAAATGTTGGAACGAAATTATTTGGCTTTAGCAGAAATGTTAAAAAGAACTATGCAAGAATATGTTATGGTTATGAGAAATTGGTATAAATAAGATTTAAGTTTTTAAGTTTTAGGGTTTTTGATAGTAAGATAAGGTTAAAATAGATTAAGGTAATTTAATGACAGAATATTATGAAAAATGGGAAGGATTTGCTGTGATAATTAATAGCTAGAATACAAAAAAGGGAGGTGTGAGGAGATCGATGAAATAAGGCAATGACAGTTAAGGATTTAGGAATATTGGATTTGTTTTTTAATTTTTGTGGTTTATTTTTGTTTTTTGATTTTGATGTGTTATGTGTTTTGTTTTTGTTTTTTGATTTTGACTTTTATCGATTTGTATTGTTTGATTGTCATTTGTTTTTTCCTTGTTTTTCCCCTCTTTTTTGTCTCTTTGTTTTTTCTGTAATTTTAAAATGCTTAATAAATATTATTTTTTAAAAAAATGTCATAAATGTACCAACCAAGCACATACATAGATGTGTGGACCACATGTCTGGAGCAGCACAGGAGGACCAGCCTGGAACCATTTTGACTCCCAAACTGACCTCAAATTTTCTCTGCAAGGTTGAGGGAAAATGGAAAAGCCTCCCCATTGTCTTTTCGTTCACAAATCCTGTCTTAAGGGTATGTCTGTTGGGATACTGCCAGGGAGATAAAGTCCATCATGGCCCCCAAGCCGTGCTGCCGGACGATCCATCGACCTCTGGTAGGCACGCAGTATCAGCAATTAGTGACACGAGTTTCCAGAAATTAGTAGCCACATTCCAGAGCTCATGCACACTCTATCAGCAGAAAATTCACAGCAGAAGTCGCATGCAGGAGAGCATTATTTACAAGTTTTATTCAGCGTTGATCAGAACAAAGAAAACCATGACTGCCTGCTTCAGTGTCTACGACACACAGAGAGAAAACGAAAGCAATAGAAAACACAAACATCCTGTGAACAGGAAATGTGCAGACTCTGTGACTCACAAAGCCTGCTCCCTTTTAAGGTGGGACGGAAATATCCTAACAATGTCTGTGTGTGAATAGGGTGAGCCTGTGATCTGGCTCAGGAACTAAGTATGTGTCATTACAAAAGACTGGCCAGGCTCCCCAGGGTATCCAATCAAGTGACCATTAATAGGTAACCTGCCAGACAGGAGATAAACAACGCACTTAGATTTCTGTTGTAGACTGCCGTTTCTGTGATGTAGGTATGATGTATCTGGGGGTGGTCTTGGACTCCAGGGTGGGCAATTTAAAATGTCTATATAAGGGTGGACACACCTGGGTTCTGGGTCCTCCTCCTTCTCCTACGTGTGAGGGGGGCACCCTGTTGCAACAGATCAATAAAGATCAGGCTTACGAGCTGCTTTGCTTCTCAATAGTCTCTGGTTTGTTAACGGAGAAATCCGAGGGCTCTCTTGGATAAAAAGCAAGGACACCAACCAGGAAAACAGCAGCAAAACAGCAGCCAGTAGGCTTGGTCTTGATTGAAGACTGTCGGGACAGGACTCCCACCTGCCACCAGGTGGAACAAGATGGAAGCCCCGAACAAAAGAGCCCCCAAACTTTTATTAGCTGCTAATCCCCATGTTACACCCCCCCAGTACATCATGGTTACATCATGAAAGGGGAGGTCTGGTGGCAGGAATCTGAGCATCCTGGACCCTGCCCCATGGTTCCCCTTGCCCTCCACCAAACACCCATCAAGTGGAACAAAAAGATATGTACATTTCCCTGTTTCCCCAGCCAAGTTAATCACACCCTTTGGTCTTCATCTGGGTTTGTTATTTCTGGAATGGCTACCTGTCTGGCACTCAGGTATCAGGATGCCAGGAATTATCACTTGGGCAGAGGGGCTGCTGAGTAGCTGAGCTCACATCTCTATATGAATTTCCTGGAGACATCTTAGGTCTCAGGTCCCTGGCACCAGCTGGACTGGATTGTCACCAGGCGATTGCACTGAACTGTGCGAAGGCCACATGGAGCTACCACAGCACTGACTGCGACATGGTCACACCCTGAAGGCGAGCAAAGAGGACCTGTAGCCAATCTAAGCTTCTGCACTTTGGCAGGAAGAACCAGCTGCACCAAGATAAGATGAGGGACACTGCTTTGCTGGTAGGGAAACGGATCTAGGGATCTTAGTGGACCACAAGCTTAACACGATCAACCAGAGAGTGATGCAGCAGCAAAAAATGCTTATGCTATTTCAGGCTGCAACAACAAAAGTGTCCAGATCAATGGAAGACAATAACACAATGAAATTCAAAACAGTAACAATTTCTTCAGCATTTATTCAAAATCCATTTAAAAATGTTTATTTTTATTCCATTCTCTTCCAGTTCTTTTTCTTCTTGACACGTGGAGTTACACAGGGAGTAGATCATATATCCTAAGGAACGGAAAAACCCAAAATTCTGTGAGATCTTTGGAGGCAAAATAATGTTAACAATTTTCAGATCTCTCTCTCTCTGTCCCCTGCCCTGCCCTGTCTTTTGCCAAACAGAGGGGTCAACCCTGTGCCCAGAGCCGCCCCCCCCCCCGGCCTCCCTGAGGTGGTCCAGAGGAAAGAAGAGCAAGGCACAAGGCCCCAGCTGGGCTGCAGGAGCTGCCAGAAGGAGGCCTACAAAATGCCACCTCACCATCTTAGGACTCTACTCTGCATCTGTGTAGGGTTTACTCTGGAGCCTTTTCGTCTCCTGAAGCCACCCCATGAGGCAGCGGAGGTTTAGAATCAGAGTTCTCCTTGATGGGCTCCCTTCTGGGGGTGGGATGAGCCCCATTGGCCCCTCACTTCCCTCTTCAGCACGTGCACAAACAGCTTCCTCTGGATCTCGTCTGCTCCATCTGCCAGAGCCTGTCTTCTGACGCAGGAGAAAGTCCCTCACTCACCGAGAGTTTGAGACCCATTGGCTTCCCTCCCCTGGTTCCCCGGCCTCTTCTCCCTTTGACTGCTTCTCCTTGTGCCCCCTCCACTCTCTGGGCTCTGAGACGTCTTCCCTTCCTGCTTCCTGCTTCCTCCCACCATTCCTCTGTGCCCAACCTGTCCATGACACCGTTCCACCCCTTGGCCTCTGTCCCCACAAGGCAGCTTCCCCCTACCTTATCTGGTCCCACAGCCACTGCTTCCCTTCTGCTGTCATAAAAAGATGGAGAAGGCGGTCTTGCTGGCATCATTCTGTCACCTGCAAGAGAAAAAAGGTAAGCAGGGCGCCAGGAGTGCCTGCTTCTCTCACAGATGAAACAGGGCATCTCTAACTACCGATGGGCTTTTGAGAAAGTCTTACCTGCTGAGTGCACAGAAGAGCACAGAAGCAGCGCCTGGAAGGACGGGTCTCCCTCTGTCTTGGGCCCAATCCCTTGTTCCAGAGGACTTCCCTGGGCCCTGCAGCCTCCTGGGCAGAGGTGGAAGGGCAGCAGCAGCAGGAAAGGGGGCAGGAAAAGCCTCTGGCCTCATCCTGGCCCCCAGGGACACACCCCACATCATCTGCGCTAAAGATCACTTGGGGATGTGATCTTGGGGGGATGGAAGTAACCAAAGAAATGAATAGAAGAAGGCAAGGTACTTACTCTGAGGTTGGGGAATTTCCGGGCAACGGCCAGCATCAAGGAAATGCTGCTGGCCGCTAGTTCTTGAGCCTCCCCACTTTCCCCAGGGCGTATCCTCGGAGGTCCTGAAGGAGGAAAGAGCATCTCAGAGTCAGGGGCCAGTCTGGGCCAAAGCGGCCCCCACTGCCCCCACCACGGAGTCCCTGGCACTTCTGGACCCTGAGGGTTTGCCAGCTTTTGTCTTGGACCAAATTGGGGGCCAAACAGGCTCTGTGCCCCAGAAATGGGGCAGTCCATTGGGTAAGGGACGGGGGGGGGGGGACAACCCTAAAACCACCCCTGATGCCATCGGGACACTTACGCTGAGAAGGTGGAGGAGGGTGCCAGGGTTGGGGGCTTCCATATGGAGACTCCCCAGCAGGAGCCGGAAGTGCCTCTTCAGTTCCTGCGGGAAAAGAGAGAAGAGAGTGTGAATCCTGGGTTGGATTCTGCAAGTGTGTGACGAAGAAGAAAGAGCCTGTGAAGGGAAGTCAAAACCAAGGACATACTTCTCTCTCCTCCTCGGCCCCATTCAGCACGGCCTCCAACGTCCTGTGCAGGATGGCACTGATCATATCGCAGCTGAATTTGGGCCTCATGGTGCTGCAGAAAGGGAGAGGGTTAGAGTCTCCCTTGCCCCTTCTTCCTCCCGCCTGCTCTTCCCCCCTGGGGTTCTGCCCCCTACCCACAACCCCATCCACGCCAAAGACCCCACTCACCTTAGCTAGAGGAGGGCCTCCAAGGCAAGGGCCAGGGTCAGGGGGCGATCCCTGAAGTGCTCCAGGGGCCCCAAGATGTCCTGGGAGAGAACAGAGGAGGAAAATCAGCTCCGACCCCAAACACCAGGCTTGGCTTTGCAGGGGAATGGCAACCCCATGGCCTAAGCCGGCAGGGTCCTCCTCTCCGCAGATGCACAGCCCCTTCCCCCCACACCCCCCATCACTCACCAGAATGGCTTGGGCCGTCCCCTGCTTGGAGCACTTCAGGAATCCGGGCCCCCTGAGCTCAGCTGCCTGGCAGCTCTTGATGGCCCCCAGTTGGTAGCACTGTTCATCCTCCAGCAGCTGAAATGCAAAAGTCAGGCTGTCAGTTCCTCGTGAGGGGAGGGCTTCTCCGCACCTGAGAGTGAAGAGTGGGGGGGCAAAGAGCCGGGGGGGGTGGGTAGCGGAGGGCAGGTCTGAGGGATTCAGTCCCTGCTCTTGTTTTCTCCAATACTCACTCCTGGGGCTGGGATGCGGAACTGCAGCAGAACTGCAAACAGAAGGACAGGGGAACGGGTGAGTCCTCTTTTGCATCCTTGGACTAGCTGCCCCCCCCCGCCCATCCCTGCCCTCCTCTGTCCAAAAAAGGAGGGCCACTGGCTCACCTGCCCCCACGGGCTGCTCTGTGTCTGGCTGGGGGGGCCACCCTGTGGCAGCGCCTGAACTGGCTTTAAGCACCTGATCCTAGAAGAGATGAGCAGAAAGAGCGACTCAGACGCTGGCAGCCCCAATTCTTGGGAGTGTTTGTGTGTGAGGAGGGGTGTCTGGAGAAAACAGTGAACCCCTGCTGAATTGGCAGAACAGAAATACGTATGTGGAGCCTAATTGATCCTTGCCGGCCCATCATGACCAATTCCTTCCATCTCTCTGCAGTTCAGTGACCTGAAGGGGCATCATCAGGGCCTGAAAAAGGAAGCCCAGAGCACGAAGGGCTGGCAGAGAGAGAAAGGAGGTCCCAAGTGCTCTGGGTTCAAGAGCTATGGTCCCCTCATTCATGCAGTCGAGCAGTGTATAAATTTCATGAAGCTAATGAAATGAATAGGGAGAGGGGAGAGCTTTGGGTCATTCTTAACATTGTTACCGGATTTTTTGGAAAGGGTGGCGGGGGGTTTCGCCCTCCAGCAGGCACCATACCCCCCTACGACTGTACCCCAAATCAACACCTTCACTTCTGCAAATGTCCCCACAAAACAGATCCTGACACAGTCCTTTCCCTTTTCTATTCCACAGGCTCCCATAAATAAGGGTAGAACATTTGCCCTAATGAAGGCTGAGCCTTTCGCTCGCAAGGCGCTCAACCAATCTGCTCAGACTATCCAAAGAACTGTCCAATAGCAACCAATGAGTGCCACGAAACAGTGCCCTCCAGCACAAAGCACTGAGGGCACAAGGAGAAGGGGATGACAGAGGACCAGATGGCTGGACAGTGTTCTCGGTGCTACCAACATGAGTTGGACCAAACTGCGGGAAGCAGTGGAAGACAGGAGTGCCTGGCATGCTCTGGTCCCTGGGGTCACGAAGAGTCGGACACGACTAAACGACTAAACAACAACAACAACAGAACAAAGCACACAGGCCCTGCAGCTGCCGACCAGCCATGGCCTCTGCTCTACAAGTAGGAATTCCCACTGGGAAAAGGGGAAAGTCAGAACCAGCCAAGAAAACCATTCTTGTTCCATTGAAACTAGTCTTTTAAGTTTCAGTCTAGGCTCTTGCACTACCAACCCAGCTGTACGCTTGTGAAACATGGACCACTTATAAACGCCATCTCCAACTCCTTGAAAGTTTCCATCAACTGTGTCTCCGAATTTTTATACACATCACTTGGGAGGACAGGCAAACTAATACCAGTGTCCTGGAAGAAGCAAAGATCACCAGTGTTGAGGGGGGCCACTAGGGGCACATTGGAAGAAGGCTGACAATAACATGTCTCCAGCCCACACGAGGTAATTAAGAGGCTGTTATGGGAGTATGCAGCCTCCCTTGTTGCCCCAAGGATATGGGGAACACTGCCCTTGCCTGCTGTGCCCATAAATCACCCCCAGATCCGAAAGAAGGGGGTGAGGGCACTAGGCAGATTGCCCTTGTATGGATGGACTCCGGTTCTCCTGGACGCTGTCCCTGTGCCACTAGCTGCAGCAATTTGTAATAATTAATTCGGAAGAAGCAAATGCACATATTTCAAGTGAAGAAGGGGAGTGAAGACTGCTAACTGAAGGGACCTCTGTGAAAGAAGAGCGACGGAATATTTCATGGAGAAGACACATCAAAGGCTGGGTATGTCGGCAGCAGGACTGGATGGGGGGACTTTTTTTCTTTTCTTCTATGTGATTAACCAAGAACCCCTCCTCATACCTGATCCATCGGCTAACTGACCTAAGCAGGATGTTTAAGGACTGTGTGGAAATGAACTTTAACCAAAAGTATGTTTTATGGAGATTGAGTAAAGAATAAGCGCTTTTAGAGTAACGAAGCAATATAAACAGTTGCCATCTTGCCAGGCTTGGTCGAAGGATTTACAACCGGGAGGAGGAATGGATTTGTTTTCGGACTGCATTCCTGGCGAACCTCCTCAGAGGTTGGGAGAAAGGCAACAGACTTGTGAAGATTAACGACGGTAAGACTGTTTTTATTTATGGAAGTGATGATATACGGAAACCATCTGAATATGGTTCTTGGATGAATAAAAATATCCACACAGGATTACAGTTTGTCTTAACCCGCTTTGGAGAGCATCAGAGGTCACAAAGAGAAAGGAAAAATGTATGAGAATAACAAGAGGAGATATGGAAAACAATAAGAAAGGACTGGACAGTATTGTGAACATCATATGGACAGATCTGTGGACATTAAAGCAGCAGCAAGAAGATGATTGGATTTCCTTCGGAACTTGAAATATGGGTACCCCCAACAAAAATTTAAAATTTGGCTTTGTAATTTGGAATTTATGTAATTTGGTTTGATTTGATGTGATTGGTCGGTTAATAAAAATTATTTTAAAAAAAGAAAAAAGATCACCAGTGTTGAAGCAATGATTCTTCGTTGGACTGGTCATGTGGTTCGGATGCCTGATGATCGTCTTCCAATGCAACTACTCTATTCCAAACTTAAAAATGGAAGGTGTAATGCTGGTGGCCAACAAGAGGTTTAAAGACTCTCTCAAGGCCAATCTAAAAACATGTTGTATAAGAAGAAGAAGAAGAAGAGGATTTGATATCCCGCCTTTCACTCCCCTTCAGGAGTCTCAAAGCGGCTAACATTCTCCTTTCCCTTCCTCCCCCACAACAAACACTCTGTGAGGTGAGTGGGGCTGAGAGACTTCAGAGAAGTGTGACTGTCCCAAGGTCACCCAGCAGCTGCATGTGGAGGAGCGGAGACGCGAACCCGGTTCCCCAGATTACGAGACTACCGCTCTTAACCACTACACCACACTGGCTCTCTAAACACCAATGGCTGGGAAGCACTGACCTGCAAGCGCTCCAGTAGGAGAACAGCCTTGACCAAAGGTGTCATGGGCTTTGAAGACACTTGAACACAGGACGCAAGGGAGAAACGAGCTAAGAGGAAGGCACACTTGGCAAACCCTCACTGTGATCAACTCCTGCCCAGAAAACTATGTCCCCACTGTGGAAGGACATGTGGATCCAGAATTGGCCTCCAGTCACTTACGGACTCACGGTTAAAACTCACTCTTCATGGAAGTCAATCTTACTCGGCTACAAGTGATAGAAGAAGAAGAAGAAGAAGAAGAAGAAGAAGAAGAAGAAGAAGAAGAAGAAGAAGAAGAAGAAGAAATCTGGTCATAGCACTCGCCTACTCTTGCAGCGGGAAAACCTCCAAATATTCATATAAAAGCAATCCAACACCAGATTGACACTGTTCCAATGCTGTTCTGCTCAGAAGGAAGATGGCCACCAGAGGAGCCACTTGGGACATGGCTAGGGGCAGCCATCATCCCTGAAGCATGAGACCACGTACACAGCAACCCTTCTGCCTGGGTGATAATCACTGCCCTCCTGGTCTCTGAGTGCCAGACAGGTAGCCATCTCAAGGACAAAAGTGGATCAGGGAGTGGCCGCCGGGACCACATAACACTGGTCCTGAGAGATCTGCATTGGCACCCAGTACATTTCCGAGCACAATTCAAAGTGTTGGTGCTGACCTTAAAAGCCCTAAACAGCCTCGGTCCTGTATACCTGAAGGAGCGTCTCCACCCCCATTGTTCTGCCCGGACGCTGAGGTCCAGCACCGAGGGCCTTCTGGCAGTTCCCTCATTGCAAGAAGTGAGGTTACAGGGAACCAGGCAGAGGGCCTTCTTGGTAGTGGCACCCGCCCTGTGGAACGCCCTCCCACCAGATGTGAAGGAAATAAGCAGCTATCTTCTTTTTAAAAGACATCTGAAGGGAAGTTTTTAATATTTAATGCTGTATTGTTTTAAACACTTGATTAGAAGCCGCCCAAGGTGGCTGGGGAAACTCAGCCAGATGGGCGGGGTATAAATAATAAATTATTATTATTATTATTATTATTATTATTATTATTATTATTAAACCTACATGGATTGGGGACTTGGCCAGGACAAGAGCGGGGACTCAACTTGGCTGGCAAACAGGAACATGTATATATTTTCCTTTGTATATGTGTAACGTGGAGGTCAAGGGAGGGACAGGGAGAAACCTGATACTCAGGTGTCCCCCAGAAAAACCTCCCAGTTTGTGACACCCCCCCCCAGAGATGAAGAGAAAGGGATGCTACTTACAGCCTGCCCATGTTGTCAACGAAAAGATCCCACCCTCCTATCTAAAGTAACTATCTAAAATGCCCACCCAAGCCTCAATCTGACCCCAACCCCTGCCCTAAGTCTATACCTAACCCCCGCCCTAACCCTACACTCAACCCTAACTACTCTATGTAAAAAAATAAAAATAAACAAAATATATACAGAATATGCACAGATGTGCACAAAAAACAAAAATATTAAAATAAAGAACAAAAATAAAAAAAAAAGTGTTAAAAGAATAAAAGAAAATCAAAATAAATCAAATCAAATATATAAATAAAATAAAAGTAATAAATGAAATCAAAATAAGAAAACAAAAAACAACAACAAATCACTAATCCTCCGCTTACTCTCCACCAACTGCCACCACCTCCTCTCTCCTCTGACCTCTCCTCACTAACCCACATTTGCCTGCGAGTCAGTGGCTTTTAAAGGAGAAGCAAGAGATGTCACAAAGGAGGGCGGGGCCTTGTCACCGTGGCAACCCACCCCCACGAGGACTTGGCCCCACCTGGCCCTTCCTGAGTGGTGATGCTCCTCTGTCAGAACTCGGAGGCACCTGCTGTTCCGCCTGCAAAATGCTCTGATCCCAAACTCTCTAGCCCCACAGCTGGCTCTGCCACGATAAATCCTTTTGTTTCTAAGGTGCTTGGGGGCTCTCTGTTTCTACGTTTGCTGCGGGGGGCTTAATAATATCACTACCCTTCTGCACTCGGTGAATTAAGCAGGGCATGGATTTGCAAGCATTTGTAACTTCTGCCACATAATTTTCAGGTGGAACTCAAATCGGGAGAGAAAAGGGTATATGCAGCCTGCTCTTTCCGTGTGGGGGGCACATTTCATGGTGCATGCAAGTTTAATGGTGGGCCATAACATTAAAGGGATGCAGGTGGCGCTGTGGGTTAAACCACAGAGCCTAGGACTTGCTGATCAGAAGGTCGGCAGTTCGAATCCCTGCCCTGCGACGGGGTGAGCTCCCATTGCTCGGTCCCTGCTCATGCCCACCTAGCAGTTTGAAAGCACATCAAAGTGCAAGTAGATAAATAGGTACCACTCTGGCGGGAAGGTATACGGCGTTTTGTGTTGCAGGCTGTGCCCATGGCCATGATATTTGATCCGATGGTGACTTTGGGCTGATCAAGTGCAAAAATCATGAAGATCCATGAGGATCCGTGTTTTTTAACCATGTTTTTGTGACATTGCGGTACCACAAAACAGTGGATGTGTGATTTTTTTTGGTTCTGCCTACAGACAAACCCACGAGGATCCGTGTAGATCTGCCTTTTACCCAGACCCTTTTATACCCTAAACCGCCCTGTGCCCCCCCAAACCCCTCCCTCCCTCCCTCCCTGGAGACAAAGCGCCCCCCCTCCGATGCCCTGCACCAGAAAGACCAATTGGGGGACGCCTCCTTTTGGGGGATGAGTCCAGGGGTCACTCTGCAGCCCTTGTCCCCCAGGACCCCTCCCCCCACCCCGACAGGGCAAAAGATGAAGGGGGGCTACCCAATTTGGGGGGGTCCCCCATACAGAAGCGGAGCAGACACGCCTTCTCCCCAAGCACCCCAAGAGAGGATCCCAGGAGGGAAACTGAGGCAGCAGGCAGAGGAGAAAGAAAATAAGACCCCCCAGCCCCACCCCTGGCAGGAAGGGACCTGGGAGGGAGGGGCTTCTGCTCCGAAGGACCTCCCCCCCTTATTTCCTGGCCTTTCTAGGAACGCAGCTCAGTGCCTTTTAACCCTTGGTGTGCCGAGCGCAGCTGAATCTGCCCTCTCTTCTCTCCGCGTTATCCCGATCTTAAGCAGGAAGAACCCAACTCAAAGATGCTTAACTTGGGGCGCGGGGGGGGAACCCCCTTGCCCTTCCGAGCTGCTCTGCGCCTCGGCTAGAAAAAACGAGGAGCAGGAAAGCCCACCCTAGAATGAACAGCTGTTGAAAAAAGGATCTGGTCCCGTTTCTGGCCAAAGGGAGAGAATAGTTCACAGCGCCGGCGGGGGGGGGGAGACACCTCTCTGGGGGGCTCGCCTGGTTCCCCCTGGACGGGAGAGAGAGAGCGAGAGAGAGAGCGGGTGCCCTTGGTTCGCCAAGGGTTAAAGGGAACGGAGCTACAAGGGAGGGGTCCTCAGAGCAGAAGCCCCCCCCCCGCTCTTGTCTCTGCTCTGCCAAGGATGCGCAACCCGGTGAGCCTCTTCTGTTTCCTGCCATGGGGTGCCTTGGGGAGAAGGGGGGGTCCCAGGACTGCAAGAGAGGATGCTGGGGGGGGGGGCAGGTTCAACTTATGCATGGGGAGCCCTCCAGGTCGAGGAGCAGAAGGTGTTAAGCATAATGATTTAATTTGCTGAAATGGAAATGTTGACTTACTTTAAATTAGCTTTCCTCTGGCCCAGTTGGCTCTTGGGGGATTGGGCAGGTAAGAATCTGGCCCTTAGAACAAGGAAGTGGGGACCCCACCCCACACATCTGTCTGCAGCACTTTGGAGCTTCCTGGTCTGCCCCGCAGAGGACCTTAAGGCCTTTGAATAACCATAGTTTAGAGGGCCCTAAGGAAGTCAGACTATCCTCCACCAGGGCCAGGGCCTTCTCAGTGGTGGCTCCAACCTGGTAGAATGCTCTGTCCCTGCAGGATTGAACTTCCTTCCGCAGGGCCTGTAAGACGGAGCTATTCTGTCTGGCCTTCAATTTGAATTTAGCCTGATCTTTTATTTCCCTTCCTTCCCTCCCTCTCCCCTTTTTATGGAGATTACCCGCTCTGGGATCCCACAGCTCATTCTCCCCTGGTCTCCTCACTGGCCCAAATAGGACTAATTCAGTCAGCTAGCCCTGGTGATCATCTAATGTTTATTGGATAGATTTCCCCCCAAATTGATTTTTGAATTCTGAATTTATTGTTATTCACGTTTTATACTGTATTTTATGCTTGTTTTTTTGTTGCATCAATTAAGTGTTTTAAATATGTTGTTAGCCGGCCTGAGCCCGGTTTTCTGAACCAAGAAGGGCGGGGTATAAATAAAAATTTATTATGCTGCAAAATGAAACCAAAGCAGGGAAGAAACAGGCAGTCCAGCCCTGATTCCTAGTAAGTCTTATCCACACATGCTCAGGTAACCTCTTTCTTCTAGTGCACTCATGTCCCAACAGGTAGATCATGATCTATTGGTAGTTCACTGGAGGTCTGTGATGGATCACTGGCTCCCCACAAAGAACCTCAACAAATTTGCCTCAACAAAAATTTGCCCCAAATTTGCCCAAACAAAAAAGTGGGTAGATCACTGCCAGTTTTTAACTGTGTATAGATCGCAGTCCCTTGGGAGTTGGCCACCCCTGTTTAGCGGTTCTTCAGTTTTATCACAGAATTATGGATTTGCTTTGTAGGATTGGTGAGCACCTCTAAATCAGACAGACAGACAGAACGTGGCAGAAGATTCCTTCTGATTCCTTCTGATCTCTTGGAGGCTTCCTGAGAGCACAGATGGATCAGCAAGACTCAGCTGGTCCTGAAGCGGGAAGAGACCGTGATATGCAAACTGGGAGAAGTGGGGGATTCTGGGGAAACACCATGCAAAGGATCCTGGGTGAGGAGGACACTCTCTGCTCCGATGTGCAGAGCCAGCCGGTCAGGCAGTTCTGCTGCCAGGAGGCTGAAGGACCCCGAGAGGTTTGCAGCCGACTCTACTGCCTGGCCCATCAATGGCTGAAGCCAGAAAAGCACACGAAAGCTGAGGTGCTGGACCTGGTGATCTTGGAGCAGTTCCTGGCTGTCCTTCCTCCGGAGATGGAGAGCTGGGTGAGGGAATGCGGAGCGGAGACCAGTTCCCAGGCGGTGGCCCTGGCCGAAGGATTCCTCCTGAGTCAGGCAGAGGAGAGGAAGCAGGCAGAGAAGCAGGTGAGAGAGACTTTCCTCTGGATACTCCCAAGGGGCTCCAAACCAGAGGGAGAGTATCCCAAAATGCTCTACAAAGGGCCCCTTTTTTTGGAATGCATCCAAGGAATGAGATCTGATACCTGTCAAGTTTTTGCTTCTGTCATTCTTTTTCTGATCCTTCTCCCCATTCCCTGTTTTGAATCCTTGTTGCTCTTTCAGATAAAGAATCTGTTAGCAGAAATGGACCTGGATTCCTGTGAGGCAGAAAAGACTCCGGTGGACACCAGAGAGAAGCCACTGGGTATGGAGAAAGGAGTTATTTCTCTCTTTGGTCACATTCTGTTGATTTTGAAAGTAATTTGTGGGTTATTTTCATCTTTTCGTAGGGGAGACACTAGAGGCCAAGAGGCCAGGGGAGGAGAGGTGTGTTTTTACACAACTAAAATATGAAATGGGTAAAATATCAGAATGGAATAAGCAAGGGAAACTTTTGCAAAGGCCCGTCTGCAGTTAGAGATGCACTCCTGAACCTCAGAGAGAAGCAGGCATTCATGGCTTCCCACTTCCCTTTGTCTCTGGCAGGTGACAGGATGATGCCGGCAAGACCTCCTCCTCATCAGTCTTTTCATGGTGGTGAAGGGGAAGCAGCGGCTATGGAAGCAGATCAGGTAGGGGGCAGGAGACTTGTGGGGAGAGAGGTTGAGGGGTGGGGCTGGCAAGAGTGACTCCTTCCACCTCCTGCTTTCTGTCAAAGGTGCCCTGAAAAAAGGTGGCAAATGACATTATGTGCTCAGAATAAGGTCTAAACCACTGAGCCTCTTGGGTTTGCCGATCAGAAGGTTGGCAGTTCGAATCCCCGTGATGGGGTGAGCTCCCGTTGTTCGGTCCCAGCTCCTGCCCACCTAGCAGTTCGAAAGCACGTCAAAGTGCAAGTAGATAAATAGGTACCACTCCAGCGAGAAGGTAAACAGCGTTTCCGTGCACTGTTCTGGATCGCCAGAAGCGGCTTATTCATGCTGGCCACATGACCTGGAAGCTGTGCACCGGCTCCCTTGGCCAGTAAAGCGAGATGAGCGCCGCAACCCCAGAGTCAGCCATGACTGGACATAATGGTCAGGGGTCCCTTTACCTTCCCTTAGAACAGCGGTTCTCAACCTGCGGGTCCCCAGATGTTGTTGGACTACAACTCCCATCATCCCTGAGCTCTGGCCTTGCTAGCTAGGGGTGATGGGAGTTGTAGTTCAACAACATCTGGGGACCCACAGGTGGAGAAAGGCTGCTCTAACGGGAAGTAAAATAACTTGGTTTAACTGTATACAATTGGAGGAATGGGCAAAGAAATTGGTAAGAGAAAATAAGGAATGTCGAGAATATACAAAATTCAAAAAGGTGATTATAAAAAAGGAAAGATGAAGAAAAATATAAAAGGGGAAACCAGTGAAATTTACAAAGTCGTGGTAGAATTGGAAGATCAGCAAGATCAACTAAAAGGGGTGTGTGAAAAGGAGTTAACAGGTCAGATAAATAGTCAGAGCTTGGGGAAAACATGGGAGAAACATCCTCTGTCTGGAGGCGGTTGGAGGATGGATGGCGGCTAATGGATTGAGGTTGAATCCTGACAAGACAGAAGTACTGGTTTTGGGGGACGGGACGGGCAGGTGTGGAGGATTCCCTGGTCCTGAGTGGGGTAACTGTGCCCCTGAAGGACCAGGTGCGCAGCCTGGGAGTCCATTCTGGACTCACAGCTATCCATGGAGACGCAGGTTAATTCTGTGTCCAGGGCAGCTGTCTACCAGCTCCCATCTGGCACGCAGGATGAGACCCTCCCTGCCCGCATACTGTCTGGCCAGAGTGGTGCATGCTCTAGTTATCTCCCGATTGGACTACTGCAATGCACTCTACGTGGGGCTACCTTAGAAGGTGACCCGGAAACTACAACAAATCCAGAATGCGGCAGCTAGACTGGTGACTGGGAGTGGCCGCCGAGACCTACATTGGCTCCCAGTATGTTTCCGAGCACAATTCAAAGTGTTGGCACTGACCTTTAGAGCCCTAAATGGCCTCGGTCCAGTATATCTGAAGGAGCGTCTTCACCCCATCGTTCTGCCCGGACACTGAGGTCCAGTTCCAAGGGCCTTCTGGCGGTTCCCTATGAGAAGCCAAGTTACAGGGAACCAGGCAGAGGGCCTTCTCAGTAGTGGCGCCTGCTCTGTGGAACGCCCTCCCACCAGATGTCAAAGAGAAAAATAACTACCAGACTTTTAGGAGACATCTGAAGGCAGCCCTGTTCATGGAAGCTTTTAATGTTTAATAGGTTATTGTATTTTAGTGTTCTGTTGGAAGCCACCCAGAGTGGCTGGGGAAACCCAACCAGATGGGCGGGGTAGAAATAATAAGTTGTTGCTATTATTGTTATTATTGTTATTATTGTTATTATTGTTATTATTGTTATTATTACTACTACTTTGTTAAAAAATCACTATAAATAAAAAATCACAATAAAATGCACAACAATTCCCTCTTTCTTTTAGGGTCTGGTGTGCTTTGATGATGTCACCGTTCGTTTCACAGACGAGGAATGGGCGTTGCTGGATCCTGACCAGAGAGCTCTGCATAAGGAGGTCATGGAGGGAAATTATGGGATCCTGGACTCTCTAGGTAAGGCTCCCTGCTAGATCGTAATATCTGTTTTCAAACTCCAAGCGTATCTCTATCTGATAAACCTCCAATATTTTGATGGAGCTCAACAGGACAACCTACAGCCCCTGGAATTCTCACACCCCCATGGAGAGCTATTGCCTGTTTCATCTGCGAATATTGTTCCTCCAGTTACGGCTTTTTCAACCACGATCAGACTTGTCTGAACTCACCGTGCCTTTTTAAATGTAGGAGTGGTTTGGGAGATCGAGGTAGCTTCTGCCAGGTGGTTTTTTGTTTTGCTTCTGTCCGTTTTCAAAGGAGATGACTGACCTTGGAGATGGACTGGATTCCATGAATGGGCCAAACAAAATCCATCCCAGGAAAGGACCAGGCTTTTAGAATCTCAGGTTCCCATAAGTATGTAAGTTAATACCAGTCAACAAAGGCAGTGAACTCTGTAGTAAGGTCTCACGTCTAACTCTCTTCAGCTCGTCCTCTTTCACAAGCATTCATTAGCATTGTTCTAGAATTACAGAAGGGATGTGGGTGGCGCTGTGGGTTAAACCACAGAGCCTAGGACTTGCCGAAAGAAAGAAAGTTGGCGGTTCGAATCCCTGCAATGGGGTGAGCTCCCGTTGCTCGGTCCCTGCTCCTGCCAACCTAGCAGTTCGAAAGCACGTCAAAGTGCAAGTAGATAAATAGGTACCGCTCCGGCGGGAAGGGAAACGGCGTTTCCGTGCGCTGCTCTGGTGCACCAGAAGCGGCTTAGTCATGCTGGCCACATGATCCAGAAGCTGTGCGCCGGCTCCCTCGGCCAATAGAGTGAGATGAGCGCCACAACCCCAGAGTCGGCCACAACTGGACCTAATGGTCAGGGGTCCCTTTACCTACCTTCGACAGTGGAATTTGCTGCCAAGGAGTGTGGTGGAGTCTCCTTCTTTGGAGGTCTTTAAGCAGAGGCTTGACAACCATATGTCAGGAGTGCTCTGATGGTGTTTCCTGCTTTGCAGGGGGTTGGACTCGATGGCCCTTGTGGTCTCTTCCAACTCTATGATTCTATGATTCTATGATTTACCTAGAATTACAGATTCCATCTCTTCCTGAGGCTCTAATTAGCTTCTTTCCTTGATTGTAGGTAATGATGAATTAGAAATGAAGAACGAAGGAGAAATCCACATAGAGGAGAAGCCTTATCGATATTTGGAGTGTGAAGAGAGCTCCAATAAGAGCTCCGATTTCACTTCTCATCAAATAAATCCCATTGGGAAGAAACCCTATCAGTGCTTGGAATGTGGAACGTGTTTCAGTCAGAGGGCCCATCTCACTTCCCATCATCGAATTCACACAGGAGAGAAACCGTATCAGTGCTTAGAATGTGGAAAGAGCTTCACTCGGAACGAAAGTCTCACTTGCCATCAGAGAAGTCATACAGGTGAGAAACCCTTTCAGTGTTTGGAATGTGGGAAGAGCTTCACTCGGAAGGAAAGTCTCACTTCTCATAAGAGAATCCACAGTGGGGAAAAACCTTACCAGTGCTTGGAATGTGGAAAGAGCTTCCACGCAGGCACAAACCTCCGTCAACATCAGAGAATTCACTGTGGGGAGAAACCATTTCAATGCCAAGTGTGTGGAAAGAGCTTCATTAGGAAAAAAGATCTCTCTTCCCATCAAATAATTCATACAGGTGAGAAATCCTATCATTGCTTGGAGTGCGGAAGGAGCTTCACCTGGAAGAAAAGTTTCGTTTCCCATCAAAGAATTCATACTGGGGATAAACCACACAAGTGCTTGGATTGTGGAAAGAGCTACAGTAAGAGGGCTAATCTCATGACCCACCAGAGAATTCACAGTGGCGAGAAACTGCACCAATGCTTAGAGTGCGGACGGAGCTTCACCTGGAAGGAAAATCTCACCTCTCATCAAATAATTCATACAGGGGAGAAACCCTTTCAGTGCCTGGACTGTGGGAAGAGCTTCAGTAAGAGAGTCAATTTAACGGCCCATCAAAAAACTCACAGCGGAGAGAAACCTCATCAATGCTTAGAGTGCGGAAGGAGCTTCACCTGGAAGAAAAGTCTCACTTCCCACCAAAGAATTCATACAGGTGAGAAGCCCTATCAGTGCCTGGACTGTGGAAAGAGCTTCAGTCAGAGCGCCCATCTCTTGGTCCATCGGAGAATTCATTCAGGGAGGAAACCCTATCAGTGCTTGGAATGCGGAAAGACCTTCAGTCAGAGCGCCCATCTCACTGCCCATCAAAGAACTCACCACAAGGTGAAGTCATAGCAACGGCTGTCTTTAGGAAACTTTAATTATCATGCAAGTGAGGTTTGCAACGGCGTTCTTGGTCTTCGGCCACCCAGCAAAGAAGTTGACCGTGCCTCTCAAGACCGTTGAATGCACACTTGACATCCGATTGAGAAGCAATTCATGTACTTCCACCTTGAAAGCCACCAAGTTGCAAATTTGTGGTGCTCCTGACCACCACTGTCATCTTCAGCATAACCAAGATGATAGTGGTGTTAGCTTCAAGCTCTTCCTGGAGTCTGCTGAACACACACAGGACACTTCTTAGAAAAGCCACAAGTTTCATGCTTTCCTCTGCAAGAAGGTTTAGTCAAGAATCCTGTTGCTGCCGTTCTCTGTCTAATAATTGACAGAGGACGGCAGCAATGGAACAACACGGCTTACTCCAGGGGTAGCGTCAGACACCCTTTCCCAGGCCATGTGGACAGAGCCCCAGATCTTGACCAGAGGGACATTTCTGTCAGGGGCTCGCATATATTCCTCAAGTAGGTGACCCTGTTCTCCTTCTGTCCCAGTGTTAACTGAGTCTGTCACAATGGATGAGGTGTTTATGAAACTGTCCTGGACGCTTGCATGGTCTCTAGCCCAAAGCCTTGCTTCTCTCTTCACATAAGGCCTTGCGCACCACATACTGTCAGTTCTAACACTCCCAAGAAGTCTTCTCCTCCAGATTTGGAAACGTGCAACTTTTATCTATATAACTTTAGCCTGTGTGTATCCTGCCTACCAAACTGTCACCTGCGGTCCGTCCGTCCCCAGCTATTACTGAATGTGAAGGTCTCTGTTGTAACATTAGAACATGTTACAATATGCTTTGAAGGTTCTTTTATTATTATTATTAAAGATTTTCTTGATTTACAAGTGTGTTTGCAATTTCTCTCTCTTGTATTTCTCTCTCCCCCCCCCCATGTAACATTTTTACAAATCAGTTTCATTTGTTGAGACATTAGGAAGAATAGGGGGAAAGAGGTGGAGAGGGGAAAGGTGAGTGGGGGTGGGGTGGCGTGGCGGTGTTTCTATTTTACTTACTAAGACCCAACCTCCCGTCTATTCCATATTTCAAATTCATATTACTTATTGCCAGTATACGCTTTTATCATAATTAAACTTATTCTCAATAAATCTAATTTCTTATATCTACCTTGCGAGTATTACTGAAGTTCCTCGAATGCTGCAACAGAATTTAAACTACTATATTTATTTTTCAGATAATCTTTGAAAACCTCCCATTTTGAAACAAATTCCTGTTTTGATTTATTCTTTATTTTTTCTGATAAACCATCTAATTCGGCATATTCTGTCAGCTTTTGGATCCAATCTTGTATAGAGGGGATTTCATTACTCTTCCATTTTGCTCTTGCAAAACTCTTGCCGCCGCCGCCGCATATAAAAAGATACCCTTCCTCTTTTGCGGCATATCCAAATCTGTTATTCCCAGGAGGTAGGCCTCTGGTTTTATATTGAAAGAGATCTTTAGCATTTTTTGCAGTTCTACATGGATACTCTCCAAGAATACCTGTATTTTCCTAAATAAAAAAATTCCTTCCAGTAGCACCTTAAAGACCAACTAAGTTAGTTCTTGGTATGAGCTTTCGTGTGCAAGCACACTTCTTCAGATACATGCACAAGAAAGCTCATACCAAGAACTAACTTAGTTGGTCTTTAAGGTGCTACTGGAAGGAATTTTTTTATTTTGACTATGGCAGACCAACACGGCTACCTATCTGTAAATGTATTTTCCTACATATCCACTACATATGGTAGAATGTTCCTGATTCACTGCATCTCCAACAATTACTTGACACATTTTTATACATTTTTGGAAGTTTCCATGGTGTTAGATACCATCGATGTTGCATTTTTTGAAAGTTCTCTCTACTTGTGTAACAATTTGTGAATTTCCAATTGATCTTCCATAAATTTTCCCATTGGGCGTTTTAAAAGTAAAATAGTTGTTCATTTCCCTGACATCTGATGGGAGGGTGTTCCACAGGGCGGGTGCCACTACCAAGAAGGCCCTCTGCCTGGTTCCCTGTAACTCAGCTTGAGCTGAGATTCCTGCCTGGCAGGGGCTGGACTAGATGCCCTTCAGGATCCCTTCCAGACTCTCCCATGCTCAGTTGCTGTCGGATGGCCTCTCCATCTCCTCTTTTCCAGGCTCAACCTCCCCAGCTCCTTCCTTTGGCTTCTTCTCCCCTCCCGGCTGCTCCTCCTCCTGCTTCTGGCCTGGGGTGGGGGGAGTTCAAGGGGGCTGGGGGTCTCCCCCCAAATGAAGCGTCTCCCCGTCAGTGGAAACAGGACAGTGCACGCTATCTCCTTATTGCCACAGTTTTACAGGCTGCTTTTCTGAGCCTCTCTGCAGGTCTGGGGCTTGTGTAAAAGGTGAAGGGAAACGGTCGGGCTCCTTGTCCTGGCCTCAGTTCGAGGCTGGGGGGGGACGACTCGGGATTTTTGGGGAGTCGTCTAACTGCCATGGGGGGGGGAGCGGCAGGCGGAGGGGGGAGGGAGGTTTCTGCAGAGGTTGGGGGTCCCTCCGTCAGGGATGCTGGAGCTGAGATTCCTGCCCGGCAGGGGGTGGACTAGATGCCCCTCGGGGTCCCTTCCAGACTCTCCTACGTGAGGGGTCCCCTGCTTCTTGGGGGGAGGGGGTCTCCCAAATGAAGCATCTCGGGGGGGGGCGATGCACGTGGTTCCTGCCTCGGAGGAGGAGGTTCCGCTCGGCTCGCCAAGGGTTAAAAGCAGCAGAGCTGGATTGCTAGAGAGGACCGGAAGTGGCGTCGTGGGGGGGGCGAGGTCCTCCCTGGCCCAGGCCCCTCCCTCGCCGGCCCCCCTTCTGCCCGCGGAGGGGCTGCTGGGTCTCCCTCTCTCGGGGTGAGTCTCGCCATGGGGAGAAGGGGGGGGTCGGGGTGCAGGGGAGGGGGCGGGGGCGGGGGGCTGGGCAGATCCTGCAGGGGGGGAGGCCCAAATCGGGGGGGGCGAGGGGGCCCGGGCTCTGCCCCCTGGGGGAGGGAGGGGTGGGGGGGGAGAGGCTGCGGGTAAGAATAATAGTAATAATATTTTATTGATACCCCGCCCTTCCTGGTTCGGAAACCGGCCTCGGGGCGGCAAACAACCCATTTAAAACACTGCATTTTCACGTTTTAATGTTGAATTTTAATCTGGTTTTTGAGTTGTATTTCATTCAACTTGTTTCTCTGCTGGGTTGCTGGCCGCCCCGAGCGGGGCCTTGGCGGGGGAGGCCAGGGTAGAAATAAAAAATATTGCTGTTGTTAATGATAAAAGCAGCATGAAATGCAGTATTTTAAAAAAAATGAATAACGATAAAATTCAAAAAGAGTCAAAACCAGATGATCCCCGGGGCTCTCAGAGCCGGGCAGGGAAGGGAAATAAAAGACCGGGCTGAATTCGAATCAAAGGCCCGGCGGAAGGAGGTGCAATCCTGAGGCCGAAGCCCCGCGCGCGGCTTCTCTTGCTCCGCTGCCGCCCGTGGAGGCAGGAGAGGCCTCCGGGAACAGCAAGAAAAAACCCATTACGTGGCAGCTTTTCTGGCTGGGAAGAGAAATCAGGCGGGGAGGCAGCCCCTCCCCAGTGCAGAGAGGGGGGGGGAGACCCTCCACCCCACCCCCCAGACTCTCTGCCCGAGCTGCAATTCCCAGTTCCCTGGCAATAATAATAATACATTATTTATAATAATAATAATAATATATTTATAATAATTATAATAATTTATTTATTATAATTATAGTAATTATAATAATTTATAATGATTTATTTATAGCCCACCCGTCTGGCTGGGTTGTGTGTTTGTGTGTGTAAAGTGTGTGTGTGCCTTAAGCTAGAATGATTAACTTTGCCACAATTCTGCATATAAGAAACTCTCTTTTTTTAATAATTTTTTTTTATACCCCGCCCTCCCCAGCCAGAGCCAGGCTCAGGGCAACTAATGCCAATAAAATTACAGTGGTACTTCAGGTTACGGACTCCGCTAACCCAGAAATAGTACCTTGGGTTAAGAACTTTGCTTCAGGATGAGAACAGAAATCGTGCACCAGCAGCGCGGCGGCAGCAGGAGGCCCCATTAGTTAAAGTGGTACCTCAGGTTAAGAACAGTTTCAGATGGAGAACGGACCTCCACTGTGAGGAAATTAAGAAATTTTTTGATAGTAGTACATGAAGAACTAAAGAAGGTGTTGAAAATACCAATAACAAAGAAACCAGAGACATATCTCCTTGGATTGATAGATGAAGAGATACCACGGGGAGGGGGGCAGGAGAAGAATTTTTCTATACTGTACAGTAAAATCATAACAGGGGGAAAACCCCAATTTAAAATACAGGTTAAAATGCAATTTCAAATGCAGCCTCATTTTAAAAGTCAAAATCATAAGGGGAGGGAAACATAAGGGTCAGACTGAGTCCAGACCAAAGGCCAGGCAGAACAGCTCTGTCTTGCAGGCCCTGCAGAAAGATGTCAAGTCCCAGAGGGCCCTGGTCTCTTGGGACAGAGCATTCCACCACGTCGGGGCCAGTACTAAAAAGGCCCTGGCCCTAGTTGAGACCAGTCTAACCACCTTGCGACCTGGGACCTCCAAAATGTTGTCATTTGTGGACCTTAAGGTCCTCTGCAAGGGGTTGGCAAGAAGGGTGGATGCGTAAAACACTCTGGAATTGTAGCTTTGAGGCTGGGAGGGGGGTGGGGTGGGGTCTCATGCCAACTCTCTCATGCCAACTTCTTTGCAGGAAGCCAGGACTTTTAAAAGTGGCCTGATCCAGCTTTGCAAGTGGCAGGGGGTGTGGGTGTGGGTGTGTTGTCTCTTTCCTTTGTTTTTGGAATATTTCAATATAGAAGTTTTTATATGGGTTGAAAAAAAATAAAATAAAAAATTCCTTCCAGTAGCACCTTAGAGACCAACTAAGTTTGTTATTGGTATGAGCTTTCGTGTGCATGCACACTTCTTCAGATACATCATGC